AACTGAAGTCAACTTCTGTGGACAGTGTTGATGCTTTTTCTCTGTTCCTGTTATGTTCACTGCACTGGCCGTTTTCCCAGACTGCACCCTCAGTCATCGTTGTTCTGTGCCCCTGCAATAAATGATGTTTTAATTTAAACATAAATATAGTGTTTCTCAATCGGTTACAACACTTTGAATAAAGAACAGACCTTGGGAGTTTGCTCCACCAAATACCTCAACAGAGAGTGTGAGGAAAAAAATCGGCAAACATTTTTTTTCTCCTGATACCTTTTGATTTTCTGAAAGGATTTTGAGGTTACTTGCTTGGTACAAAACTGAAATCGCTTTTAAAATTACTGAATAAAATGTCTTGTGACTGTAACCTCTTAAAGCATCCACTGAATAGAATATACAGAAAAATGAATCTGTCCCGCAAGAACATTTGAGCATAAATTGATCAGTAAGCAGCATCATCAAGGTCAAGGATGAAGTTGTACAGAAGTTCAAAGCATGGTTCAGTTATACACATGTGTTCCATGTTCCATGCATGACATGTAGAAGAAGATGCTGTGTGTAAATCGAAGCCGCTCTTTGCTCTACTTCACCATCCCCAGTGTCAAACCAGGGGGTTGCAGCATCATGCTGTGGCCCTGCTTTTACACTTCATTTGACGTGAAAAAAATAAACAAAAAAAATATATAACCAAATATGATGAGTGACCCAGTGCTTTGAATGGAATAATATAAAATATGAAACATGCTTGGAGGAAATTTAGCATATTTTGTTTATCAAATAAACCTATTCCGTGATACATCTCATAAAAGGAAGAAGCTTTTAGCGCATACATGAATTAAGTAGATAATCTAGAGCCATATTTTCTTATCTTTCCAATGGTGTATCACTCAAGCAGTAAGAACAAAGTTTACTCTTTGAACAGAGGTTTTTTACTATGTTAAATTAACAAGAAAATTATGGAAAACAGGCAAGGATGGATCCAATTCAGTGAGTTAAGACCAAGCCCCAGAAATTCAAGATGGCCCCCATCTTGGTTAAAAGATGGGCGCACGTGCCACCATGGGCACCGAAAGATTAGCTAATCTCGCCCCTATTTGGGCATTTCTCTAGTACTCCTGGTTCTGCGCAGTGGACGAGTTTCTGTGATGCTTTGCGAAATACGCATGTGTGGCTCTCATGCACGTGCACACAGGGACACGGCGTGTAACCAATCAGGCGCTGCTGATCATAGTTGAGCTAGAGCGGAACTAGGGCGGGAGACAATCGAGCAGGGATAAACTTTGAAAGGATCTATTTCAGGTATTTAGGAAAAAAAGCACAACTGTAAAGTATGCATGGATCTAAACCCTTCTTTAGGCGATTCCTGGGTTTGATTTACAAACTCCAACATGAACAAGGATACAATACCTACACATACGCATACATTGACCTCATATTTCTCAAAATGTTTTTAACCTTAAATGTCTTCCCTTGCCACGTTTCATCTTCCCTGATTAAAAAAAGAAGGGGTTGTCAAGGATACATTTCTGCTTTTCCCTGTAAGAACTTGTAGAAAACAAACGAACAATTCAGTTTATTTCAGGTCAGTTTAAAGTTTGTTATTGTGAACATAAACTTTTACAAAACACTTTATATAATCCTGGTTTTGGCCTTATGTCTAGGTTCTTCTAAAACAAAACATTTCCCCCCTCTCACATTTTTCCACATTGGTGCAGGTGTTCTGTGGAGTTGGTCTGCCCGTTGAGATGATCTGGCTCAGCTGTTAATGATGCAATGCAAACCTGCGCTGTGCGTCTCACTGCAGCCGAAGCAATCCAAGATGGCGGACATGTAGTCCACGAATTGCTTTAAAAGTTAAATACGAACGAATTAAGACACAAATGTCACTTTTAATGCAATTTGAGGCGAGATGTTGATGGTTCTGCGTTGTGATATGTGTGTAGAGTAAGAGTTTCGTGTAAAGTTTGTTTTAAGCAGTCCACTGATCCTGCGAAACTAAACTGCTAATGTGCCCAAATCTGACTTGCACATGGGCAGAAACCCGCCAGAATGGGGAGAAAACTCGATCTAATTAAATATTTCGTTTGAACACACTATTAATACAGTATGATACATGCATTAAATTTAATTTATTATTTCCATTATCAACCCGACAGACCAGTCACAGGACGCGTCATGGGCCTGACGTATGCAGCAGTCAACTCCGGGACTGCGATCACACAGCAGCAGTGTAGTTTGCGTAGGTTGCGTAGGTTTCCTCCGGGTACTCCGGTTTCCCCTACCACTAAAAATATGTACAATAGGTCTGGCATGCGCCTCCTGTTCGGCGACCCCGCTCCCATCTCTGTGTGGAGTGAGAGGACAAGTGCCCAAAAATAACAATTGTAAACCGCTTTGTGACTCTGGTCTGTGAAAGGCGGTATATAAATAAAGATTACTTACTTACTTACTTACTTAGTTTCACAGGAGCAGTGGACTGCTTAAAACAAACTTTACACAAAACTCTTACACTTATAACACACATCACAACGCGGAAGCATCAGCATCTCGCCTCAAATTGCATTAAAAGTGAAATTTGTGTCTTAATTCGTTTGTATTTAACTTTTAAAGCAATTCGCGGACTATATGTCCGCCATCTTGGATTGCTTCGGCTGCCGTGAGACGCGCAGCGCAGTTTTGCATTACATCATTAACAGCTGAGGCAGATCATCTCGACGAGCAGACCAACTCGACAGAACACCTGTTACAGCAGGTTTTCCTTGCTTGTATCATATTCGGGGAATTTTATTATCTTAGATGCATTAAATATGAAATTTTAAATGAATTATGTTGCATAGGAAATGGAGTGCATGCTGAATGGATTTTACGATACCTTTGGCATTGTTGATTTAAATAATGAATGGAAAAGCTCTCGAGATGTAGCATTTGGTTGTTGTAAATTGTTTTAATTCATGATGGATCAATAAAAATGGCACGACAATTAGGGTTGGGCGATATGGGCCTCAGCATGTATCACGATTTTTGTTGGTATGTATCACGATATGACGATATGATAATTTGAACAAAGCCTCATATAAAAGCTATAAAAACTTTATACACACTTGCCTCAAAGTGCATTTACTGATTTATTGGCAGCAAAATGTGTAATACAGCTATTGTATATAAAACGTATTAACAAAACTGAATTGTAGAGAATTCTGTTTTGTACATACTGAAAATTGCAGGCAACATGTAATAAAGGTGAACATTTGTAATTTGTAAAATATATAAAAGTTTGTCCTTTGTAATATAAAAAGTGTAGCATTATCAAATAATTATTTGATCACTTTGGCTTATGTTTCCTAATCCAATATAGTCAAAATGATCAAATACTGTATATATTTTTTGTATCCTTTTGCGTTTCTATAATTATGTAATTATAATTTATTTGTAATTATATTGCAATGTAGACAAACACATGCATTGAAGTAAAATGAATGACAGTAAACAGTAAATAAAGCTTACCAATGGCACTATGAGAGAGAGAGAGAGAGAGAGAGCGAGCGAGTGTCCGAAGCAAGCCACTCGAGTCCAGTTGTTGCAGCTGCTTTCACAACATTAGATCCACTGTCGATAGTTACAATTGCTTCTTTTTATCTAGTTCCCAAACTACTCCCAAATGTTTGAGGTAGCTCCGCGTTTTGGCACAATGTCTTCTACAATCTGCATGTCTTCACCATGGTCTTCACCGCCGCCCTCAGCCATGTTTGCTCTCTGCTCTGTTGTTGTCCCTGCACGCCGCTCTGTTACACATGCCGCGCAGATGCGTCATCAAAGTGCGCCGCACACAAACGTGTCTTCCGCTTGCTGTTTTCAGTGTTAAATGATCGTTTTCACCGGTATAAGGCATTTTCTTATCATTTAATTTACTTATACCGGTATACCGGTGCAACAAAAATATCGCCCAACCCTAACGACAATTACAATGCATCTATTTTGGTAAACCGTCTAATCCTTTTATCCCACTCTACTGTACTACATACAGTTATGATGTTGTACTTGTACTACTTTTTAAACTTTTAACAAAGTTTCACCATACATACTAATCATCCATACTAATATTATAAACTTCTGGCACAAACTTGCAACTCCAGTAACAGTTTGATGTCATTGTAACACTATTGCATCATCGTTAGCTGTTTCCTGTTTAGTGCCCCTACTGTAAATCACTTAAATGGAAATCAGGAGTAACAGCATTCTTTAAATATTGCATGGCTGTTATTGCAGTTGGTAATTTTTGAATGAGAAATAAATGAAAGTCAGTATACAGTAGGGCTGACAAAACAGTAGGCAAAATACTCCAGAGGATTTAGATAAAACTAGAGTGTTGCTGTGGATGACAATTTTTTCAGGGAGGTGGGACTTTCAGAAAAATCTCCCTAAATACCTATTCAACCACACAGAAGCTTGCAGGAGCATTATTCTTATATGGGCATTAGCTTCGCAACATTACAGGGACGAACATGTTGCTAAGACGGTTGCTATGGAGCAACACATGGTCTGAAGACTTTTCAATATCCTCTGCAGCTCAACAAGTCAGATCTGCGTTGAGTGCTTGTGTGAAGCTTTTAAAGCAGCATCAAAGAGAAAAACATGCATTTATGGTTCAACAGAAAATTGAAACCCAAGGATAATGAAAATCAAAAGCCTAATTGTTAAATGTTTGTTCTGTTCTTATTTCACTTTACACAATTGAAACTAGCTATTAGGAATCTTTCCAATCTCCATGTTTTCTCTTATTACACAGAGAAAACATAGTATGTACGTTGATATTAAGATAAACTTTCTTGACGCTCCACTTTCTCTGTCTGTTTAGTTTCTTCAAAAGATGGACACACACAAAGTTGTTCCATGTATTGTGGTTATTTACAATACACCGCTGTTTTATGATTGTATCTATCGATCACAAGCCAAACCTCTCTTGTTGTATAATTGAATCGTGGATCCTTTGTCCTTGTGTGCAGGAAACAGGAGCTACTGAACATCTCCACTGTCCCACTAGGAGAATGCCCCCCATCACCACCCCGCACAGCCCCCCCAAACATGAAGGTAAGAAGCATATACTGTATATACTAATTTCAGTTATTTCGAGCCATTTCTCAGTACACATTAGCAGTGTAAATGTCTCAAAAAAAATTATGATTCAACAAAACATTAGTTCTATAAATATGTGTCTTCCTTAAACAAGATATTAATGCGTTTGCTTTTATGACATTATTATTTGGTCAAAGTTGTGGCTGAAGCTAAATACATGAATAGACACACTTCTTAAGCGAGGTATTGATTGTATGATTTTACATCGACCTCTGTCTTGCCCTTGAGACCGACTGGCATTCAGTGAAAAAATACTATTGATTGGAGGTTGTCTGCCTTATGAAATCTATAAACAAGTTCAGTGAAAGTGAGACCGCATATTGATGGGACCAAAATAAAAATGTGTGGATAATTTGTTAAGAATGTTGTTGAAAAGGACGTATTATGCTCTGGAAGGTTTTTTGAGGCCACGTAGCATAAAAACACGGTGGCTGGCAAAGAACAGAATCTCTGAATGTTTTAAAAATGTGTGAAGTATCTGGGCGTCAGTATTGGGTGCCACGCTTTAATACAAATCCACACTCAAACAGACCATTCAGCATCACTCCATTCTAATACTTAATGAGATAACAAAAATCATATTCGGGATGATCATCCTTATGTTTTCACAAGTTTGGAAAATATATTGAGATACACAGGAACGGCTTTAGTAATTTACCCAACCATAATTAATCTCCCTCTTTTCAATCTCTTTCCTGTCCTTTTTTGTTATTTGCTAATATTAATTTATAACCGGGAAACATCCCAACCAGTTTGTATTAGAATCCATCAGCAGCTGCAGCGGAGGTCAGAGGGCATAAATACACTATTGTTGACACTAATGCTACAATATTGTCCAATTTAATTCAGTGGCGTTGTCAAGGAAACCCACTGGAAATGTATTTGTGAAAAGCGCTGCTGAAAGATTATATCAAGCCGAACACAGAATCAAATTTCACATGTTTTATGTTGATAAGAAGCAAATACAAGACGAGCTGTTGAGGTAGAGGAAATATTCAACCCATACTCCATGTCAGGAATCTCAGTTTAATTTCAATTTACGTTATGTAATTGACATGGTATGATATTGGAAACGGAGACAGAGTACAATAAATATTAATGACCAGCCTGATGGTCATTCATGGTCTCCAACCTACTTTCGAGAGCTACTTTTACACAACAGAACTGGCAGGAGCTTCTCCTTTTGTTTTTACATTTCTACATTTGTCGTTGAGTCACAGGTTGTTATACTATAACTTGCAGTCTGCTGCACCATAACTAACAAAGTGGCTCAGTTTGTAGAGCATTGTAGAGCTTTTGAGCCTGAGGGTCGTGGGCCCACCACAAGACCTTCTCCACGACAACCACTGATGTCTGCTATCATTGTGTCCTTGGGCAAGACACTTTACCCCACTTTGCCTGAGCCTCCGCTGAAAGGATCAGTGAGGGACAGAAATGAACAAAGATGATGGATGGATACTCTGAGTAATCAGATATTCATATTACATGATAATACTGCTCTTGCTCATTTGTGTTTTTGAACCTGATGATTTCTTAATGTTTTGCGTATTTGTGTAGCCATGATGATCATGATGGCTGATAATTGATTCTAAGACTTAGAAGTGGCACTTGGCGCCTACAGGCGTGAGCTACTTTGTGCAGTGTGTGTCACCTTGAACAGTATCTTTCATCTGAGTCGCACAGGGAGTAAGGATAAGAATATTCTCACTCAGTGACTGACTGTACGGAACATGGAGAAACTTTACAATATAATTAAACTCTAGAAAAATCAATTATCGACATGGTGTGTGGTTGATTCTGAGATAATTATGATCATTTTCTACCATTCATTTTACTTGAAGGACATATAATCAATGTCCCACTGTCAGGATCATGCAAGTGCCCGTAATTGCTCTCCATTTAACTCAAAGATATAGAAGTGAGGAGAAAGGTTCAAAAGTATAACATTTAAAAAACATGTTAGAATGAAAGACTTGGAAATGGACAAAAGCATAAGTCTTTAACCAGCGAATTGCATTTTGAAAAGATGAAAGGAAGGTGTATATTTATATGATTTGTTTTTGAGTTGTTTTTTATCAATACAATAACACATTTAAATGTAAAAACATAAGTGAGGATCTGCCCAAAAATGTCTATTTTACAGGACATTCAGTCACAGGCACATTCACAAGGTACATTCAAAATGCAGCAGCTCGAGTCCTGACTAGAACCAGGAAGTACGACCACATTAGTCCAGTCCTCAGGTCTCTGCACTGGCTTCCTGTGGCTCAGAGAATAGACTTTAAAACAGCTCTGCTTGTGTACAAGTCTCTCCATGGCCTCGCACCAAACTATATTAGTGACATGTTAGTCCCATATGAACCAGCCCGGACTCTGAGGAGCACAGGGACTGGACTCCTGTTAGTGCCCAGAGTCAGAACTAAACATGGGGAGGCTGCTTTTCAGATTCATGCTGCTAAAATCTGGAACATTCTTCCTGAAGATGTGAGACAGGCCTCCTCTCTGACAATGTTTAAAACCAGGTTAAAGACGGTTCTGTTTAGCTGTGCATACAACTGAGGGATTTTATATTGTTATCTTTTTTTTTTATGTACTGTGATTATTTATGATTTTAATGCTTTCTTGTTCTGTTCAGCACATTGAATTGCCTTGTGTATGAATTGTGCTATACAAATAAACTTGCCTTGCCTTGCCTTGCCACAAATAAAAATCCTTTTACTGGTAAAATTATTTTTTTTCATTTTTTTGTAACCTTTTGCATGTGTGTATTATGCTGACACACACACACACACACACACACACACTGCTTCTGGTCTGAGCTTGCTTAGACACGTGAAGGACTGGTTCCTTCACAAACGCAGTGTTGGCTGCTCAACTTGAATTTCCAGTTTTAGCTTGAAAAGGAAAAGTGAGCATGAGCAGGAAAAGTGCACGTTTTACAATACCCCACAACCACAGTCCTGAGAGCCGTCGATGATTGGCAGCTGCGGAGGTAAGCCTTATCGTCTCCCAGAACAACAGAACAACACGGCACCTTTCAAACTTGTGATTTATGCTGCGCAGAACGTGGTGGGCTTTGGACAGATAGTGATTGTTATTAAAAGTATGTGTAGGCTTGTCAAGGCTACGGCTTATTGATAACGGTGTTTAATTGTAGAATTAGCACATTTTTGAAAGGCTCCAAACATATGTGCATACAGGAACACTGGAGGTATAGCATTCTATAATAATTGACTTCTCAACCATGTACATTTCATAGACTTTTATGCTTGATTCTTCTTAATGCTATTAGAGATTTTTATTTAATTTTAGTATATAGTCATTGTTCATTTATCTTCTGCTGTGTGCTCCTCATTCCGACTGTTCTGTAACTGGTGATGCAACACTGAAATTTCCCCACTGTGGGACGAATAATCTTAATCTTACACTAAATAATAGGTTAAAAATCAAGAAATTTGGGACATTGTTTGAACAGGTTACCATTCCTAGTTCTACATACGTCTTGCATACATACATCTCGTGTTACATACATCTCCATTTGCAAAATAAATACAGTGGTTAGACGATAAATATTTGAATATACCTATTAACTTACATTTGTTGCATTATCATTCATGGAAGAAGCCTCAAGTCATAGCTGTTGTAATGCTAAAAATAGTGGAACAAGATTAGAATTCCTTTGGACATATACTAGTAACATGTAACTAAATTCAACATTATAAACTGTAACATTGGTTTACAGATGTTATATGAGTTTCTGTAATAGAATAATTGATTACTTTTTCATCCACACACTGATACGATTATACAGTCAATTTTGTGGCTATAAAATATCAAGGCTGTTGTACAAATGGGACATATCATATTTTGCAGATGCCTTGGTCTGAGTCTGGATCGGCTCAGGTTTCCTCTCTAAAGCTGCCTGCAGTAGTAATATTGTTCTTGTAGTATCCGCAGAAAGGTCACCAGGTTTTTCCTCTGGGCAAAAAATAAGGTGGGCAGCTGTCAAAGAGGCGTTTTTCCACCATTATGCAGAGCCACCAAGCCGATTTTAAAGTAGATCAAAACATAGATGTAAAAATTATAATGATTCGGAAAAAAAAAAAAAGAAACATTAATTTTACCAATGCAGATAGATTTGGGGCATTGTTCCTCAATCAAAAAAAACATTAGGATTAAAAGTCCCCACACAGGATTCATCCCACAGTGGGGAAATTTCAGTGTTGCGTCACCAGTTACAGAACAGTTGGAAGAAGGAGCGCACAACACAAATAATAACTCTATACTAAATATAATAATATAAAATCTCTATCTTTGGCATAAAAAATAAGCAAGAATAAAATTGCTAGCTTTAACATAATGAAGAAGCAAGAATTGCTTGCTTGCAGTCACGTGACGCATAAACTTCCGGTTGACGAAGTGGTGGTCAGGCCAGCAAGAGTTGCTGCTGATTATGAAGAAAATGCGACTCTTCCGAGTATTTCTTTGCTTTTTTGGATATTTCATGACACTTTGAAGCTACTGTGGTGAACGTTCTAACTCATCATTCTAACAATATGCACAAGGCAGAATTTTTCCACTACATGTTTTGGTAATATCAAGGTTGAAGCTACTGGCACCGCGGTAAATGCTAATATGCTAATATGCTAATAAGTCTCCATTCCTCCGTTGTATGTCACTTACATTCTGTAACGTCTTTGTTTATGCTGCCTCTATCATCGACATTAAACATGTCTTCTGTCTGAAATAAAGACAAGATCCTAGACTGTCATTTTATTCACTTTAGATTCTAATCTACAGCTAGATTTACAATCAAGCTTTTGCACTGCTAAACAAATGAAGGTTTGGATAAACACGGATACTGCAACTTTTCCGTTTGTCTGTGGGTTTAAGAACTCAGAGTTAAGGTCCTGAAGGACAAATCCTGCATCGTTACGAGCCGTGTAAGTAAGGAT